TAAAAGCCTTAGGAATCAGTGGCCTTATTATCGGCATATCCATCATCTGGGCTTTTTAAAAGCCCATAAAGCCCATTTATTTCCCTAATTCAGGTAAAAGCCCTATCATTTCGCCTCTATAGGATGGGGTTATTTTAGGTTTTGTTTGGGATGGCTTTTTTATTACTTCTTATATAATTTTTTAGTACACAAATTTTAATTTTGATGCTATAAAGCTGGTTTAAGAAACAGTAAGAAACTAAGTCATCCCAAACAAAACCTTAATCTGAGACTCAATAGCTGAAGAATCAATTAGGCATTTGATTAATCTGCTTAATTTCTTATTTTCTAAAAGTTATTATCGCCTAATTTTATCTTATACTTATACTTTTTTAAAATCAAATGATTATTATAAATTTTAATGTCTTTCAATATATTTTGATATTAGCTTTCTATATAAATAATTTATATTGCACTTATTTCGAAGCATATTTAAATATTTTACAGTCCATATCAAATAATTATTTAATCACATTATTCTGACATATTTTTTTTCTATTGTTTATGCTATATTTTTTTCAGTAAAAAAAAAAACAGTTTTAATATTTATTTTAAAATTCATAATCTTAATAAATGTTGTGAAATTATTTATTTATAACAAATCAAATTGCTTCTATATGAATATGATTAGATATGATGAGAGCGTTTATCCAAAGGATGGGGGAAGAAGGGCCCGTTTTAAAAATCGGGTCGAATTCGGATTGACCAAGCAACTCAAAATTGACTCGAAATTGACCCGTTTTTTACCCGAAAATTGAAGATTGACCCGATTTTTGACCCAAAACTAGCAATTTTGAGTCAACCCCGGGTCATTCGTGTCGGGTCGGGTTGACCCGGACCCGAATCAGGTCAGGCTCGGGTCAAAAATCCTGACCCGTTTTTAAAAACTGGTCGATTTCGGGTTGACCCGAATAATGCCGGGTCAATTCCGGATTCGAACAGAACCCGACCCGTTGACCCGAATTAACACCCATAGAAAATATCATGTATTTCAAGTGTTGATAGATGAAGGAGACTTGAATAATAGTTGAATGTGGTCAGTTTTGAAGTCTTCTTCATCGAAGAGAAAGTTAAATCAATGAAATTTCCAATGGAGACTTCAAAGAGGAATAATGAACATTTTCAAAAAGAGAAAGGATTCCCAAATCTTTTTTTTTTTTACATGGTTCATATCTAATGAGAGTGACCTACATTTTAGCTTATGAAGAGGAGAATTGGTCTATTCGTTATGCTCATCTTGGTCATATTGATTATGTCATGAGAAGAATTTTAATTGGATTTACTAAGTCATTGATCGTTTAATCTTTCTATAAACTAGAATTCATTGAAGTTAAAGTAGTCTAAAATCTCGAGCTATCCAAAATTGAATCCTAAATAAGGTTTCGTTTGTGATAGTTTTATTACTGTTTTTTAAAAATATTTTTTAGCATAAAAATTTTTTGAATTAAAAAAGAATTTATTGAAAAGTTGCTTTAAAAAACAGTAAAAAATTGTCCCGAAATAAGTTTAAGACGGCTTTTTTGGTGCTTCTTAAATTAGTTTTTAGCATAAAATTAAAATTTTTGTACTAAAAAATTACCTTAAGAAGCTGTAAAAAAGCCGTCCTAAACAAAGCCTAAGATATCAAAGCATTTTTATAACTCAACCCCTAGTATTCTCTTATTGACTAGAGGATCTTATGAGAAGAACTAACTCTCTCCAATATAGAACTTTTCTATATAATTGGATTATGTTGTCATTTTAGTAAATACTGACTCTAAGATCTCTTTTGGAATAATTTTTTTATTGCTTTATTTTTTTAGATTGTAGCTATAATTTGAATTTGTCAACTGCTTTTAAGAAAAAATATTTTTTTATTCTTGGTAGTTGATTTTTTTACAATAGCTTTCAAAAAAGTTATTTTTAACAACAGTTCTAAAGCCATCTTCATAAAAAGCTGCAGCTATTCCTAACAGACGTCGAATTTCATCTTAAATGATGATCATTAGTAATCAGATATGAGCTAACTTTTTTTAAAATTATTTTAAAATTTATATAAAAATTAATGGAGAAAGACCCACATAATTATACAACAAGCGCTTTCGATATTCTTAAAATTAATATTTTGTGTTTTTTTAGGTTAATGAAAATTTCGTGCTGCATTAACGGGTAATTAGAAGATTAATAATTTGTTAAACTTTTTATTCAAGTAGAACTGTTAAACTTTTTATTAATGTAAGAAGATAGACAAATTCAAATATTAAAAAAAGAAAAAAAAAGATATTAAATAAATTAATGCGGGTAAACAAAACACAATAGTATTATAATAAAATTGTCTTTGGTCATCCAAATTTTTGCTTTAGGAAGACTAACGTATCACATAGCTTGAAAAAATTTATATGATGCAACACTAATTAATATAATGCAAGCTTCCCTCATTTCTATAACAGTTGGAAAATTCATTATGATCAAAAGGTGACATAGACACATAGCATACATAAAAGTTAGTAGCTAAAGCCTCCAACCAATAAACCCTAGTGAGCTGTGTATTAACCCAAGATAAATTATTACGTGCGGAGTTTGAACCAAGTTCCCGTCCAAACTCTAATGATAGGAAGCCACGTCGCGAATATAAAAACTGTGTTTAGGTTCACGACGTGAACCTTTTCTATTAGAGTCCTGATGTCGTCCGGACTCGACTCATAATAATTTCTTCTAACCCAAAGACAATTACTTTATTTGCTATAGACAATATTAAAAGCCTATATTTCAACATTTTGAGAGAGAGAGAGATAAATGCAATTGCTTTACTACTTTGATTGAATGATCAATAGTATATGCATCTTATTTATGCATATGCATGAATATTATGCGCCATAAATCTTGTTTATGACAATAACTAATTATTCACATATATGAGATCGATTTAACTCAGGCCTCGTTTGGCTTTTTATTTGTTTCTTAAAACAACTTTTTAGCGTAAAAAAAAATTGTTTTAGAAAGTTGTTTTAAGAAGCAACAAAAAAGCCGCTCCGAACGAAGCCTCAACCTGGCGTTCTTTTGAAACAGCTTTCTTACTACTTTCTTAAAGCAGTTTTTTTATACAGAAGTCATCCCAAATGAAACCTAAATTTTCTTTTGAGACAATTTTCTAACTATTTTTTAAAATAAATTTTTAAAAACTCCTTTAAAAAATATTAAAAAATCTATCATCCCAAACGAAGCCCCGAGTATTTGGCGTGTACAAATGATATATAATTATACAATCTCATAATTTTCTTCATCGTGAGTAAACCTCTTTGGTAGTCATAAGAGTTAGATGTGCTCCAT